ATGTCCACATATTCACATATCTATATTATCATATGTTTTCGTCTTGTTAACATATCTTTGCTTATACTGATTTATGTCGAAAAGCTCTCAATACAGGGGGCTTGCTTAGATTTGACCACACTGTCTCAATGTCCCACTCGACTTGATCAATTTACTACAGTCATTCGACTCGCCCTATCCTGACCATCTTCCCACTCACTAATACTTTTGCTGGTCATAAATAAACAGCTTGGAGGATCGATCGGGGGAGGATCAAGGATACCAACCGAGTCTAATCGAACATTAATTATGTCCAATTCACGATTGGCACAACAATCTGCACGAATGGAGAGCCCAAGTCCGCGACTTGCTAGATCACATAGCGTTTCGAGCGATAAGCATTCAACAGCGAGCACTTACGCAGGCCTACTACCTCCACCTCTCTCAATTTCACCAGAACCAGTCTTCATTGCGCATTCAGCAGCTTCACAGATTGTTACAAACGACCATGATAGTAGTGCGGATGCTTGGCTCGATCAACATGGCATTGAGCCTTCTGGAGAAACGGCATTGGTATCGCCCGCTGCTCTGAAACTTGTCAACACATTTCTTGACCAACTTGTGTTCAATTTTCTCTCGGTTTCGAAGTCAACTTCGTTGGTATCACTACGCCTGGCTGTTGCCGAGGTCTTAAAGTCAAGGCTGGCTAGTGATGCGGTTAGCGGAGCGGATGCCGAGCTCCGAGAATACTTGGGAGGAAGTGAAGATGATGAATTGTTGTCATCGGAGAGGGAAGGCCAATCTAGCCGAGATTGGGATCTCGAACTGGTGTGGAAGCGCACGAGATTGAGATGTATGGTTTATTCATCATTGGGAGATATGGAAGAAGAGGATGAGGATCGACACACAGCTGAAGAGCATCTCAATGGATCTTCGGAATTTGGGGGCCGCGAAAATGAATCTGGAGTCGTTTCTCCAGCTGTTGCTATCTTCTTGACATCCATACTGGAATTCATGGGCGAACAAATCCTAATTGTGGGAGGACAAGCAGCCTATTCCCGGCTTCGAATGAAGTATGAGAAGGATGAGCGGGATGGCGTGATCAGGCAAACTGATATTGCAGAACGTGTAGTTGTAGAGGAGGTCGATATGGAGCGGGTCGCGTTAGATCGAAAGTTGGGAAAACTTTGGAGAGGTTGGAAAAAGTGCATCCGCTCGCCCATAAGTCCAGTGTCAATGGGTCACCTCCCCTCGACAGGAACAGTAGACAAGTTATCACAACCTGTACCGGCACTAGCCCAAGTGGCTGGCGTACCTCTCCGCGATGATAAGCAATCACAAAAGAAAGCATTGAACGCACAGACCGAGCACGAACAAGCTGCTATTATTCCTTTACCAATGTCTGTGGATGATGTTAGGGAAATAGAAGTACCAGGACTAGCCCCGCAAAGCGACGATGAAGATGATGATGCGACTTCAGAGACGGGAAAGCTGCCATTGTCTCGACGACCGAAGAGTATGGTTGTTTTCACGAATGCATCGCACAATCTTCCCACACCCAATTCTTCCCAACCACCAACTCCCATTTTCGCCGTTTCTCCTATGAAATCGAGGAAACGTGCAAATTCATTACCACCTCCAAATCCATCCACTTTTACGTCACTTTTCTCCCAAGATTTCAAGGAAGCAAATTCGCACCAGGAGGATTGTGTCAGCTCGAAGCAAAGTGGAGTCCCGGTCTTAACTGGCACGATCACACCTGCGGAATCAGAGAAAGATGCAGGGGAAGAAATTGAGGAAGTTTCAAATAAAACAAAGAGTGCTGTACCCGAATCGATGTACGAGCCTACAAATGGCTCTATGAATTTGGATGACACCAGTAAGGATATAGATTCTGATTATGAATTTGTCGAAGAAGAACCGCAAATCATGACTTCGTCACGTATCTCGTTTGGTGGTCGTATTTCTCCCGATGACAAAGAATCTTCTTTACGCTCTAGTCTCCGATCAACAAGCATTCATTCCTTGCGCCTGATCGATGTCAATACAGCGAAGAGTCCTACAACCGGATCATGCAAAAGCTCGTTTGACGCAACTGATTTCTTTGCAGGCCGAGGTATCTCGATGTCTCGACCTAATAGTATTCATTCACCGATCGTCTCGGAACTTTCATCTCGAGGTACAAGCCCACATCTAAGAAGCTCCAATAGCTCTCCATTAGGTCGAACTGGCTCTACTTTGAGCTCACTGCCTCTCAATACAACTGCCGATTCTATATCAGAGGTAGATGAAAGAGAGGTGGCTGGTGAAGAGTCTCCTTTGACAGCGGTACCATCAGAGCTAGCGGCTGCGATGCAAGGTGTTGACGTAGATCCCAGTCCTACGTCTCAAAACTACCCTTCCTTTAAGCCGGCCGCTTCTAGGCCGGCACCATTTGTGCTCGCTGCTCCTCCTACCCCGCAGAATTATCGAGAAGGTATAAAAGGCTCGGCCAGACAACAATCTAGTCAGGGCAGGTCATCAAGTGGGTTCTCAAACTCAAAGGTTCGAGCAAGTGAGCAAGATGGTCAAACGACCCATCAAGGTGCCAAAAATTCTTTTGAGCCACCTCCAAGGTCCGTCTCTCGTCCAATCGCCAATCCTGTGAACGACATTCCGACAATTTTGCCAATTGTAAAAGAGGGCAACTCTCCAGAAACGTTCAAACACATCCCTCGTTCATCCTCGGTGCGCCGTACGTCACCAACAAGCTCTAGAGGCGAGGAAGCATCGCGCAAGACTATATCAGACACGCTCCAAAAAGCACATCGCCCGTCTTATACATCCACCTCTAGCTCATCTTCTGTTCATCGTGTCAAACAAAGGCGAGTATCGGAAGAAAGCGGTGTTTCTGCGATGAGCAGTGTAGGTGATTCCAAATCATTTGAAGAATTGATCCGAGGAGGTGAGACCATTCAATACACATTGACACCGCAGAATATGCGGGCTATTGAAAGTCCAGATTCCCCATTGAGTTTAAATGCCATCCCTGTCCCCCGACCTGCTACAAACCGTACTCATTCAACATCAGTGAGCAAGCATACTGGATTGCATTCGCACCCCCCAAGTGATGCTTCGAAAAATAATGCTTCTTTAAAAGGCACCAGTCGCCCTTCGACAAGCAGTAGTCGTGTTCGTGCCAATGTCCAACCGAGAGATGCAAGAATAGAACAAGATTCACTGGGTGATTTTGCCGATTTCATTCGATCTACAGGTCCTGCAGCTCCATTCAAGAAGGAAGATATTCACTCACGATCGAATTCAAGTGCCGCTAGTGAAATTTCCCGACCAATAACTAGCAGTACTGTTCATAAAGGAACCAATGGAACGCCGAGAAACGTCAGCAGCTCAATTTCCCGTGTAGGTCCCGTTGCCACTCTTCCGACACGCTCAGCGTCATCAGCGGGTAGATCTGGAAGACCAAATAAATTACAAGCCCGCGATGCCACTGTAGGCAAAGATTCTATCACAGATCTTATCGATTTTGTAAGGGCTGGTCCGGATGAGGTCGGTGGTCATCGTATACCCCGAACTGTCGCTCCATTCAGATCTACCATGGATTCCGACCAAATGTCTAGTTTTGCCGGTGGTAAAGCAATCGATGCATCTCTACCTGATTCTAGATACAGTCAAGCCTCTACTTATACATCCACAAACCATTCTGTATCTTCGCAAACCGGACTTCTAAATGGTGCCAGCAGGGTCAACAAGCCAATACCCACGCAAAGTGCTATGAATGTTGATGATGATGAAGAAGTGATGCCGAAACGAAAGACACGAAGAGTTAGGGATCCATACGCCATCGATTTCAGCGATGAGGAAGATGATGACGAATTTGAGCCTTCTTCCAGGCCGGCACCCATCAAAGAAGAGTCTTTGGCTGACTTCCTCCGCAATGTTCCTCCACCGCCTTCACCTAAGATGACGTCTGTTTTCGCCGAACCTCCCAAGCCACCTAAGAAGAAGGCCAGCTTTTCTTCACGTTTTACTCGAAGTGGCTCAACTTCTCAAGTTCAGCCTCCCAAAACATCACATTCTGCAAACTCCCGCACCGCACTCACAAAACACACGCCTCTTGCGCCAAGTAATCCTCAATTAAACGCTCCCACCGCTGTTGGCAGTAGCCAGGGAAGTTATTCTCGGCAACCCGAACTTCCAAGAGCGACCTCGGGCTCAAATGATGTCCGCAAGCCTTATGAAAGTCGCGAACCTGCTCCAAATAAGTTCAGATCTCAAACCAGCGATCTCGCGGACTTTTTACGAAACTCGGAACCACCTCCGTCGATAGAACCTAAACCTTTCGTTCACGCAAAGGAGGAGAGTACATTTGCAAGTCGATTCTTCGGTCGACGGAAGAAGAGCACTGCTGGATTTTAAAACTATGAATATTTATTCTACGACAGAACGCTCATCATCACTTTACATCACAGCGAACAACATATACGATATTGCTCAACTCGGAAGTTTGTTACGTATTCAGTTTGAAATAAAACACCTAAAATTCTTACTCGAGTCTCATTCGAGGCCTTTTACATATTGAGATAAACTTATCTATTCAATGTCAATACACATTTGGGGGATTGGTATTATGTTTGCTTTATTTTTTTATTTTAGATACCACATTGAGCGAGCATGACTAGTGCTCTAGTTCCATATTGGAAGTGGAAGAAGGAAGAAGGAAGGAAGGGGTGGAGGCTTTTTAAATCTGATCGACCTTCTAAATACATATTTAGGGAAAACGATTTTGCTATCTTTACTAGGATGTATCTTACTTGATAGGAATTGGATAAGTTCGAAGTGGTTTGGAGATTGTTTTTCAGGACTAGATGGATATATGGAGTGATGGGTGGATGATACGGAGTTGAAAACTTTAGTTGGTGGGAGAAGTTTGGCCTTCAGATGTTAGCCACACTGTATTTTGTAAATAGACCTTGAATTGGAATGAAACTATGTGGGAAGTAAATTCATCTTGATTTGTACTTGGATTACTATGTGATGTTCGAAATTTGTAAGAGATTGTGAGAGTGAGAACCTGGACATACATAATGTAACAGCCCATATTAGGTTATAAGAATAACCGCGATATGCTTCGCTAGAAGATCCGATACTACATCACTCAAGATTATCCAACATCTCACCAGTGACTGAGACCGGGTTTATCTCATGCATCTTGTGAATCCTATCCGTCCCACCCATCACTCTACTCCCCAACCCACACACTCTGGTCCCAGCCCACCGTCCCCCTCATCCTATTCCAACCCGCTCCCGCCACCGCCTCCGCTTCAATACTATCCACCACTGCCTTCGAGCTCAGCCGATGCGAGGTTTCAGGAAACGAAATGTATCCTTCTTCATCTAGAACACACAGGGTAAATTTAATCCAAGTTCTACATGAAATTTCTGATTCCGGTGATACCAATTCTTCTTTTTCCTCTGGCGGGAGCTTTTCATTCTCTTCTCCTTGGTCTTCTTCTCCTGTCTCCGGGTGCGAATCTTGTGCTTGCGTTTGTGAGATAGTGGATCCCATACTTTTCAGCTGTGCTTGGAGACCTAATATCCCTAGACGTTCTGAGAGCGCGGGGTGTAGAATCGTATCTATGGGGCATATTTTGAGGATGAAGAGGAGGGAGGGGATGAATTTGAGGAGGTGCGCGAGGGGGAATGTGGGGGATTGGTAGAGCCAGGGCCCCGTCATGTTGGTTATGTGGACTGGGGATTTTGTGAGTTGGGGAGAAAAGAGGAGAGGGCGGGGAAGAAAGATGAAAGATGTACGTACAGATGGTGCCGGTCACGGGAGTGAGAAAAGGGGTACGGGTAGCGGGGGGAGGAGCAGAGGTGAGGAGGTATCCCCAGTGGACTAGTGTGTGGTGTTTATGTGTAAGTATTTTTGTGTATTGGTTGAGGGAATTGTCGGTTTTTGGATTTTTGGTAATAGATAAAATGAGGGTATCGATTCCACATCTACGACTAATAGATGGGAATTGTAACCAAAGTTTCCCGAACAACATTCGTTTACCAAAATGATTTGAAGGACGCAAAGATACGAAACCATAGGTAAAGAACAGGACTCACAAAGCGATTCATGACCTATATCCGCAAGGATAATATACAAAGTCGACGGAGCGAATGTGAAATTTGCAGGAAGAGATGGAGGACTGGTAGTGGTAGTTGTGGTGGTAGTAGTGGTAGTGGATACGATGGGTGTGGACATATTTGATGAGAATACTATTCGAGAGGATTTGGACAGTAGTGATTGACAATCTAGCGCAACTTTCAGTTGGAAAGTCGGACAGGTCTTGAACAATAGAGCGTGGAAGATTAAGGAGGCGGGAATTTGGTGCTCAGTATTGGAGGGGCTCGTTTCGGGGTGGAGAAAGGTCAAAGAATAGAATTCCTATTTATATGAAAGGAGCACTGGGATTTTAAAAAGTTGTTTGGCAAAGTTGAAGATTATGGAATGAGGATTAGCAGTAGACAATATAAAAGTAGAAGATGGAGTTCAATGTTGTAAGGTTTCTAGACAGTTGATGCGACGTGAGATGGTAGGCACTGGCACAGGCCACATGCGAGATCTCTTGAAATGACGCGGGCTCACCGGGAGCAAATGCCTATCTAATATTGTATTCGCCACGAAGAGCTGGCAATTTCAAATTTTGTTTAATGAAACTAGAATTAAAAAGAGAAAAGAAAAACTGTTACAAGGCAGATGCAATTCACAGTGTTATTGTATGTAAAAACATATCCAATGGCCTAAGAACAATAGAATACACGATTTGTGACTCTTGATTTGAATATTGAATGGAACATCTATGCTCTACATTCCCCTATCTCTCAACCTCCTATATTTCCCCGCATCCTTAACACTCGCTTTAATCTTACCCAACGCAACCTCCCAATCCGCCCCTCCAATCTTCAACTCATCTTCCATAGTCGCCTGTCCCTGTGCTACCATGTTCATCTCCCTCTTCAACGCTGCCACCGCAGCAGCTTGATGTAAGTTACCCAAATCCGCTCCACTGTAACCATTGCACCTTTCATCTCTCGCTACTGGACCTAGTGCCTCAACTTCTTGTGCGCTGGCAAGTGGCAGTGCTTTTCTATAGAGAGCCTTGAGAATTTCCACCCGTTCATCAGGAGTTGGAAGATCGACGAAGACTGATGTTCCGAGACGACCTGGGCGGAGCATAGCGGGATCAATCATGTCAGGTCGATTGGTGGCGCCTACAACATAGATACCAGCTCTGTTGCTTAGACCATCAAGCTCAGTGAGAAGGGTATTAACGACTTTACTACTAGCTTCTGACAAAGAGTCTTCTCGTTTAGGAACCAATGCATCCAATTCATCAAAGAAGAGAATACATGGTACGGATGATCTAGCGCGCTCAAAAACTTGTCTAACAGCCCTCTCGGATTCTCCAACATATTTGTTGAGAAGTTCAGGACCTTTGATGGAAATAAAATTGGCCTTAGATTCGTTGGCAACAGCCTTAGCAAGAAGGGTTTTACCACATCCAGGTGGACCCCAAAGTAACACTCCTGTTGGAGCTGTGATACCAACTCGAGCAAAAGATTCTGGTCGTTTGATTGGTTCGACAATGGCCATTTCGAGTTGCTCTCGTACCTCGTGCAAAGCACCAACATGAGCCCATGTTGTATCTGGAATTGTTGCAAATCCCTCTCGTTTAGCCGATGGTTGGACTTTGGGTATAGCTGCAAGAAAATCGGTATATTTGATAGAAAAATCACCGTCAGGAGCTGAGCCTCCGGCATTTGCGACGAGAGACCTCAGAACAAGAAGAGCTTCGGAGGTGCTATCCTTCAGTATCGGAGTGTCAAGCTCCATGGATGTAGCACTTCGCAATGGAGTATCAAGTTCCATGGTAGAGGCAGTTCGTTGTTTCAAAGCTTCCATCATACGCTTCATCGCTTCTGTACCCGCAACAGACACAACATCATTCAAATCAGCACCCACAAATCCAGGAGTCATCTTTGCCAAAGCATGAAAGTTGAAGTCATCAGTTAAGACAAGCTTCTGGGTAAGAGCACGAAGAATCTTCTCTCGAGCAGCTTCGTTCGGAACTCCCAAATTAATTTCCTTGTTGAAACGGCCCGCTCTTCGAAGAGCCGGGTCAAGACTGTCAGGTCGATTCGTGGCAGCAATTATAATGACAGGTTTACCGCCAGTTTTCTCCAAAGCCATGTCATCCATAGATGTGAGCATTTGAGCAACAATTCGTTTTTCCATCTCCCTCTGAGCACTCTCACGTTTTCCCATGATGACATCAATCTCATCAATGAAAACAAGACATGGTGCCATACGTTTTGCCTCGTCGAAAACATCCCTAATTTTCTTTTCTGATTCTCCAGACATACCAGCCACTAAAGATGGTGCAGATATTGGTATGAATGATACTCCTATTTCTGCAGCAAAGGCGTTTGCGATCATCGTTTTCCCACAACCGGGTGGCCCATGGAGTAGAACTCCTCGGGGTGGTTGAATTCCCGTCCTTATATATGTTTCTGGATATAGCATTGGCATCGCCACAAGCTCGTTCAATTCCTCAATAACATTATCCACTCCCCCAAGGTTCTCCAACGAGATGTCCGTCGGCGGTGCCCTATCCACATCTTTTTTAACTTCTCGTTCTGCTTTCCGACGTTTCGATTTCGGTTCGCCATTTGCTTGTCGATCTGATTTCATCGGTGATTCAACTTCCCCATTACCGAGAGGGTTGGTCTGAAGTTGAGCCATAGGTGTAGTAGCTCCACTCGCAGAAGGCGTACCGTTCGAAGGGTTCATTAAAGGCAATGTTGCTGGTTTTCCCCAACCTTTGGTAATACTTCTATTCATTATGTTATGTTCCTTTAAAAAAAGTCAGTATATCACTTCAACAGCTTGCGACTTATATACTTTTAGCGGTGGTGCCGCCTCCTCCTCCAATCCTTCAAAATCCCCATCTACGGAATCACTATCATCTTGCTCTTCCTTCAACATCAACAGCACTCTATCAATTGAATCTTCCAGCAGTTTTTTTGATCTTCTTTTTAGACTTGAATTCGAATTTTTGATACTATCATAGACAAGAGAGATTGTGAGACGCTTTGGTCCTTTCTGGCTCTGTGCCTGTTCATCTGCCAATTTCCTCACAATTTGATATATCTGCACAAACTTTTAGTAAACAAGGTACAATTCGAGTTCATGTTTGCGCCGTGAGCAGTCCATACCTCCTTGTCTAGTCCTTGACTCAAACTTGGCCTTCCACCTCTAGAGATCATAGTGAATCTTCCAAATAACCTCGAGTACAGTGCACCCAAAGTTATTCGAGTTCCCAAGTAGTATGAATGATAGAAAATTAAAAAAATGTCGACCTCCCCCAAAAACGGTGAGTCCCGTGCGAAATAATTCTTATCGCTTATCAGTGCCGAGCGCCATGATGCCGTTTCCAAGCATTCAAGTCCTGGAGCAGAACACCACCGAATGATCCCTCTAACAGTGAGCAAGCAGTTTCAACAAATCAACGATGGGGAATACACCCAGTACTCATAAGATTTCCGCTCAGGATAAGTAAGGAGCTTTTCATTCATTCATCAAATTTGCATTCACTGACTCATTGACTCAAGAGCCATCCTGGACATGAAGAACCAGCGGGACAAGCTTCACCAATATCAACGACGTGTAACTGTACTCACCGATCGCGAAACCGCTATCGCAAAGGAAATGTTGGCGAAAGGAGATAGAAAACGAGCTCTCCTGGCTTTGCGACGGAAAAAATATCAAGAAACTTTGCTGGCAAAGACGGATGCGCAACTCGAGCAACTGGAGAAATTGACTAGTAGTGTGGAGTTCGCGCTCGTACAGAAGGATGTTGTATATGGTTTACAACAAGGTACGAATGTGCTGAATCGGATACATACGGAAATGGGAGGATTACATCATGTGGAAAAGTTGATGGGAGACACGGCGGATGCAATTGCTTATCAAAAGGCAAGCACTAATTCGTGTTGTGAGTGGCTACTACTTTACTGACTCAAACTCTAGGAGGTGAGCGATATGTTGGGAGGGATAATGTCAAATCAGGATGAAGATGAGGTAGAGGATGAATTGGCTGCTTTGGAAGCAGAACTTACAGGTGTTCCGCTAACTGAGGTTCCTACGGCGGGATTACCTTTGAAAGATTCCTTGCCTGATGTGCCGAGATCAGAACTTTCGAGTAAAGATAGGGCAAAAGCAAGACAACTTGAGCGAGATGAGCAACGGAATAGAATGTTGGCATAGGAGTTTTGAATTATTGTTGGGCATTTAAAGGAGTTATAGGAGCATTTGTTGGATACCCGAACCATACTTTCACACTCATTGAATTCATCAGATGCATATATGGATTCATTTAAATACTGGGGACTGACTGGGAAGAAAGTCATACAATTGCGGTTGTATATATATATTATAGACTGTACTCATCCCTCAGGGCATGAGTACTGACACCGATTAAAACAGGCTTTCCTGAAACAACTCGGCGATGTTACCAAGTTCAAAAACAGACTTTTCATCTGCCACTCTGTGACGCCGTTCTAATGCAAGTAGTTTTTGTCCTTTAATGCGATTTCCATGCTCCACGCTAATGCAGGTAAACCCACGCAGCCAGGGGCGCAAAACAATAGCACCATGTACACCTTCCATCCAGATACAAAACCTATTATTCACCGATGAATAAATAAATTGTGCGCCAGTTCCTCCCAATGCAAGATACATGTGAGTCTTAATTACGGAAACAAACTACAGGAGCCCCAAAAGCTCGACTGTCCCTCCAACACACCTCATCTCTCGAAAATTACTCGAAAATTAATCCAACACAATAACTTCACGCCCAGGATGCAGAACTCGAGGATATGTCTGTAAATGAGGGTTTGGCGGCACCGAAACACGCATGGTATTCGACATATGTCGCTCAATGGTATACGGATCACGTCTCTCGTAGTATACTGGTGGACCAGATCTATCACCAGATCTTCTAAGGTAAAGAAAGTTAGCAATTCCCATGTCACTCTTGATTACTCGAGCCCACTCACTCTGCCCTATCTAAATATCGTACTGGGGATCTTGATTGAACAGGACGCATAAGTGTGAATGACCTAGCTGCTTGATCTAGCGACTCTCCTTGACGATGAACGTTTGGAGCAAATCTCTGATAAGAAACAGGACCATCTTGTGGCCGAGAAATGGGAGATTCAAGTCCAGATTGAGAGAAACGTTGAATGAAAGCTTGGTCTGCAGGACCATCCAAAATTTGAGGATGAGAAATTCTTCGGGGGTCATGCATATCAGGTGACGCTGGTCTTTGAAAATAATACCTCTGAATAGGTTCAACTTGTTCTTGTCGTATAAATTGATCACGCTTAGCGACTCTCATACTATCATTAGCCACTCGCTGAGGATTGTAAGTCTCATCAGAATTGGTCAAATAAGAACGTGGCGCAGCCATCT